AATATTTATAAAGTTTAATTATCAAAATTTTAATCCTATATATATATATGTGTGTGTAACGGTAAAATTGCATATTGAAATGTACTCATGCTATTTTTTGCCTCGTATATTAACATATATTTTTATTAAGAATAAATGGAACATTTGTTACTTTTACCGCAAAATTGAAAATTATTAATTTATACTGTTTGATTGTTTGATATATACAACCCGGAATAATCGACATACAAATAAAACGGTTTCTTCCTGACTGGCACTGTCCTGCCATCGCATGTTACAATGTAGGAAGACATAAAAGGTAAATATGATTGTTTTTCTAGTTGCTACCAAGTCCGACAAATGGATAATAATACTTTTCTCCGAAAACAATCATCCCTTTTGACAAGTAACTTTCCTCGCAAACTCTATCGCTGTAGTCTCTGTTCTCCACGCAACGTTTGAATTCTTAACGCGTGCAAACGCAGTAGAGCTTCCGTTCTGAGTTTAACTCGCAATCAACTTTTGTCTTCCATTGTCAGTCGTGATTCATGACGCGAATTACAACATAAAATAATTAAGAATATTTTTCAGATTTTATGAAAACAGCTGCAGTATATTTCAATATGCACCAAAATATAATTCAGTATTTTCTTTATAAATATTTAAAGTTTAATTATATCAAAATTTTCGCAAAATCGATATGAGTACCAAAAAATTGTATTTTTAGAAACATATGTATCAAATATAGATTAATGCGATGTAGGCATATGTCATACATATCTCATCACTTTATCATTCTATTATCTTGCGAAACGTAGAAGTTATTTTTCATGGCAAATACAATACATATTGTGACTGAGACAATATTAAATTGACACAAAGCAGGAAGAAATAAAGTTAGATACTATAAGTTTTCTATGATTGAGAAGGTTGACGGATAAAAATACACTTCTTCGGAAGCAAATCCCTCCCGACTCTTGATAAATTCACTTTCAAACTTTATCCATTTCGAGCTTACTCAATAATTCCGAACGCACGTTATTACTTATTCGTTTGACATGACTAATCAATTGTTCGCAACGCAAGCGCATTTGCGTACCGAGTTATCCTCTGACCGAGAGGTAACGCTCTGCGATCAGTGATGAAAAAGCACGCATCAGGTCGCAGTCTTGCGCGTTGTATGACGTTTCGTATGACAAAGCCATAACGTCACAAAGTGGTGCTCGTAAAAGTACACGACAATCACAGTGTAGAAATGTATCGAAATACGAATTACGAAAACGACATAAGATACACCATACAACTAAGTCGCGGTATTTTCCGTCTATTGGGCATCTGGCCGGAAACAGAGCCCTCCTTTCAAGAAAATCTCAAGAGGTTCTCGCTGATATTGAGCTGCTACTTTCTTGTTGGTTGCGAGCTAATCCCGACAATCCTGTACATACTGTTCATAGAAAAAAGAACTCGCATGAGATTAAAACTTATATCATCCGTGATATTTGCGATACTTGCACTCATCAAGTATAGCAGCCTCTTGCTTAGCAAGAATCAAGTGAGACATTGTCTGACGCGAGTGAAGGACGATTGGCGTAATGTCGAAAGCGCGAGCGATCGTAATTCCATGATTGGTAAAGCCAGGATTGCGAGACGTTTGCTCATTATGTGCGGCATATTCATGTACACCTCCGGTTTGTATTTTCGTACATTTGTGCCGTTAAGCAAAGGAAAGTCCGTCAACGCTCAGAACGTCACGATCAGGCACTTGCCGACCCCGAGTTATTTTGTTCTATTCAACGGGCAAATCAGTCCCGCTTACGAAATCGTGTTCTTTATACAGTTTCTCTCCGGAATGATTAAGTACACCATCACAGTGGCGATCTGCAGTCTCGCCGCTCTGTTTGTTATGCATACATGCGGGCAGCTGGAAATACTGATGGCATTAACAGACAACATGGTAAATGAAACGGAGAAAGGAGATTTGGACAAGAAGCTGAGTTTGACCGTAGAATACCAGATCAAAATACGAAAGTAAGTTTTTGCTCGTATTAGTCACACTTTTATATCTGTATCTGTTTATTCTTATTATTTGTATCAAGATAAGAATCAAGAATCTGAAATCGATTGAATTTTGTATATAAAGTTACGTCACGTTAACGCGATGTGTTTTCTTTGTTTTATTAGTAACAATAAGTTCGTCTTTAATATGGCAAATAAAGATTTTCTGACGAAAATTTCTGCGCGTTCCTTTATAGTTTCTTACGATTGGTGCAGAGCACTTTGCAGTATACAAGCTTGTTGGAAGTATTGGGATGTACGATGATTATATGTTTCTTAGGATATGATACTATCCTGGTGCGTCTAAATAATTATTTTAGTGATAATAGCTGGCACAATTTTACGTCTAAATGTCTATTACTACGTTTCCACGAGCGTTACTTCTATAATAACTTACGATAATTTACTTGCTCACGCGAAGGAATCATCATATGTTTCTACAGAAATAACGCTCGCGTAAACGTAGTATATTATTTTATCACGTTTGAAGCATATTCGCTATTTCGCATACACGCGTGCTTGATAAATATAACTGTCAATCCTATAGGAATGGAAAAATCAAAATGTTATATCTATGTTCTCCTCTTTTACTCTACTTACGTCATTTGGCTTCAACATTTATATCTTTTGTTTTATTGGTGAACAACTTTCTATAGAGGTATTGTATCATAAATGTATTGTCGATAAAATGCTTATAACGTGTTTAATAAGTAGTAGAGCACAAAATATGTCAGACATTTTTCTTCTCTTTTAATTTCATACTTCTAAATAACTTATTAATAAAACTAGGGAGAGAAATTAGCATTAACAGTGTGTACATTGGCCTGGTACCATCTTCCAAATATGAAAGCACGATCATTAATATTAGTCATAGCCCTATCGATTGTCCCGATGAAACTTAGAGCCGGAAAATTCTTCGATCTTTCCATCAAAACTTTCGGTGATGTAAGTAACGTAGTAGATATACTGGTAAAAAATGATTAACGAAAATGTGTATTATATTCTAGGTCGTTAAGACGGCTTTGACGTATTTTAACTTTATTCGAAAAATGTTGCAATTATAATTCGGCGTCTTGCACAGAAATATCTTACTTCTATTTTCTAGTAAACGTTGAGCGTTATTCAGCAAAAATATTAATAAGAGAATAAAAATGTTGAACTAAAAAATGTTACATATAACGCAAATTTTCTCTTAAAACTTACCCTGGAAAAAAGTGAGATACTTAACAAAATATAAATCTCCTCGATTCAAATATATTTTTTTTTTATAAACGATGCATCATATCATTATGTTGTCCGATTTTTGTTTCTGACTTCCTGTTTGCGCCGAAAACACCTGAACTGCTTGCGTAAAAGTTTCATATGTACGAGCTATCACAAAATCTTTATTTGTTCATCATTAGTTCATCTCTGAATAAGAAGAGACACAATTAATATGTTTAGAAAACGGCGAGATAGACAATATGTTAGATACTTCTTTCGATTTTTATTTGATAACTACAACTTGCTATTAGAATACTGACAATAAGAAAAGATATTGGTATAAATTTTTATATTGAGACTCCCATAATTATTTATATTCCTTACTTGATTCGCCGTATCTCTTGCTTCATCTTTCCACAGTAAAATATTTCATTGAACACGAAGGGATCAGCGTACTATCAAAGGATCAATACAACATGTGCGGTTTTCCTCCGCTCGCTATTTTTTTCCTCGCTATTTTCTCGCTACTTTCTAAAGTCGCTAGACTTCCCGTCGCGGTGATCCCTTCCTCGAACATCCCCAACAACTTTCCGCAACCTTTCCGTGATTTATAAGAGGGGAAAAAAAGATTGCGGATAACAATCGCCGCATCTGCCGCCAATCTCCCTCACCTCTTCCGTTCTCGTCGAAGACGCAAGCGCAGTGTCATTCACATTTTCCGCTTCATGACGGTACGTCCGATTAGTCCATCGTCGGCGACATCAAGATCAAGTAGGTCCTCGAGTCATGCACATGAATATCCGCGATGACATCAGGCGCACCGTGCACGTTACGCGCGGTGTCTTAAACCTGATCGGCATCTGGCCGTCGCCCGATGTCACGTCCACTGTCAAAATCGTCCAGACAAAGTTGCTCAGGATCCTGTGCCAGGGCCTGCTCTACTTCATCTTCGTGCCGGGCATATTAAAGATGTTCCTCAAGGAGTCGAACGCGCGTCGTCGCCTCAAGATGATTGGTCCTATGTGCAACTGCTTGATGGCGGTGCTAAAGCACGCGATGTTGATCTGCCGAAGCGATCGAATCAAGGATTGCATCGAGCACATCGAGGAGGACTGGACTAAGACGAGTCTGGCGCAGGACCGCAGGATCATGATGGGCAACTCGAGGATCGGACGCAACCTCGCGATCTTCTGCGTGGCCTTCGTGTACAGCAGCGGATTCTCGTATCGCACGATCGTGCCGTTATCGCGCGGAGTCATCGTCACGCCGCAGAACGTGACGATTAGGCCGATGGGATTCGCTGGTTACTACGTATTCATCGACCCGCAGAAGACTCCGGCTTACGAGATTATCTTCTCGATTCAGTTTCTCTCCGGATTTGTGCAGTACTCGGTGACCAGCGGAGCCTGCAGTCTGGCAGCTCTTCTGGTGTTACACGCCTGTGGCCAGTTAAAAATTCTTATTGCCAGAATGGAGAATCTCACGCAGGCCGAATACTTCTCTGATAAGAAAGCCAACGTGGAACTGGCGGCCGTCGTGAGGCAGCATATCAGAATTAAAAGGTAACATTATTATGCCGATCGCATTGTGTGTGCGGGGGAGAAAATTACACAATTGCCGTTTTACATATATAAAGAAAAAATTATTAAGAATGAGATGTTATTATTAATGCCATTCAGCTTTTTAAGCAAGGTAGAAGAAATTTTGCAATACGTATGTTTGGTGGAAGTAGTCGGGTGCACGTTCATCTTGTGTCTTCTTGGATATTATATAATAATGGTATGCGATATATATAATTGATAAGCTTATAATATAAATCAAGAATATGTACACGGAGAGAATTTTTCGTTATATTTTACCGTTAAATTGACTACAAACTTGAAACAACTTAGGAACCAAGGGATTTTTGACATATACAAAAGACATTTTACAAACAACATGATAAAAATCACCAAGCAGATTGGTAATTTTTTAAAAATTATTGAAATTTTACTATACATTTTAGTAAAATTAATCCAACATATTTTATATTTTACTGTAATAGATATTAATATTTCTTATTATGGTAATTATTAATCAGAACAGCTCGCATAAAATTCTTCGTAATACATGTTGTCCCACAACTATCAGATTTTCATGATAAATTTTAAGAGAAAATTCTCTCTGTGTATTAAAGGAAATTAATTAATAGAAAATTTGATGTTCGTTCTACAGGAATGGGAAAATAACGATGCGGTGTCGATGCTAACATATACCATACTTCTTTTAACATTCATCTTTAATATCTTAATACTGTGCTTCATCGGTGAGCTTCTCACGGATCAGGTATTGGTCGATAATTGTTACTTGATCAGATTGATCAAGAATTATTTATTTGTTACGTAATCGTATATATAGAACATGAAGATGTACATTACCTTCTGTACTCTCGACTGGTATCGAATCCCGCACAAGACCGCGCGCGGTCTCGTTTTGATAATCGCGATGTCTAGCATTCCCGTAAAAATCACAGCCGGAAAATTTATGGATCTATCTCTCAATAGTTTTGGCGCCGTAAGTGTGCTTCACATATTTCCATCTCGTTCGCTTAAAATGCCAGAAAAAAATTCAATGATATTCTAGAATTCTATAGTAATTCAAAACGATAAACCGTCATTTAAATATACAATTGTGTATTTTTTAGATTATGCGAACATCGGTCGCGTATCTAAATATATTGCGCACAACCAGCATTTAAAAGATGCAATTCGTTAGTTGAAAGAAATAAATTTCATCTGTAGAAAATCGTGCAGGATATTGAAATCTACGGATTTCAGTGTAATGTATATAGCACCATTAGTATGGTAGATCAACGCAAGCATGAAAATTTTTGAATTCCTTTATCGTTATATTCATTTTTTATTACACACATATGTTGAAAGTAAAACGTATAATCTTCATATATTTTTATATTCATTATTGTGTCACGCATGTAACTTGGCATTAAACAAATTTTCGTATCTCTGATGCAAAGGGTTATTTAACTGCGAGGGTAATGTATGCGTTAACATTTTACTTACGTGACATTCTGCTTGCGCAGCATAAATAACATACGGCACAAATTACAGCTGACTATACCCTGGTTCGTAAATTTAAATTTTACAAAGTCGTACGATGCCACGCGTCGCACGGCGATTCTTCTCTTTGTCCGTCAACGTTGCGTTTATCCGACAGTTTGACACGTAAAATTCGCCAACCCCTTGCGTGTAACCCGGCATTATGCGCAGACGTTTTATGCACGCAAGCGCGCTGTACACTCTATTCTTACCGCACAAAAAAAAACCACCTGTCAACATATACACCTACCCAGTCATGCTCGAGTTTCTGGTCCCGCCTGACCATCTGTCAGTCGTGAACCCGAAATGCGGGAACGGAATTAACGGAAATTCATAGTGCTCGGGAAAAGAACGGTACACAAGCGCAAAATTCGTGATACAGAATTCAATCGCGTGTTAAATTTGAACTGAATAAAAGAAAGCTAATCATGAAAGGCTCGTCGAAGACAAACCGGCACGAAAACGATTTCAATTACGCCGTGCAAGTGACTCGCGTTATCCTGCGAATGATCGGCACGTGGCCGATTCCCGGTTACGCTTCCAACGTGGAAAGAATCGCGACCCGCTTGCAAAACGTCATTTGCTACTTTCTGTTCGCGTTCATCATCGTGCCGGGTCTGCTGCGGGTATTCCTGAAGGAACACGAGTTCAAACGTAGAGTCAGATTGCTCGCGCCGATCCTAAATTGTTGGATGGGTTGCATGAAGTACAGCCTGCTCATATACCACGCGAGAGAGATTCAATCTTGCGTGAAGCAGGCGTGGCAGGATTGGAGTGACGCGATCGATTGGAACGATCGGCAAGCGATGCTGTCTAAAGCGAAGGTGGGCCGGAAGTTCGCGATCTTTTCTGCCGTCTTTATGTACGTCGGTGGACTGTCTTACCGCACTCTCGTGCCGCTCTCAAAGGGTCGCATGCTCACGCCGATGAACGTCACGGTGAGAGCGTTGGCCTGCCCGAGCTATTTTGTGAAATTCGACGGAGAGGTTTCGCCGGCATACGAGATCGTCTTCACTCTACAGTTCTTCGCAGGATTGATCACGTATTCGGCAAGGGTTGGCGCGGCCGGATTGGCTGCGTTTTTCATCATGCACGTTTGCGGACAACTGAACGTTTTAATCAACAAGCTGCAACGTCTCAATGACATGCCGCAGCCCGATGATCGAACTATCGCGATATTATTAGCTGATATCGTGGAGCATCAGATAAAAATAAAACAGTAAGTCTACAAAGATAAAGGGAAAGATATTTATGTAAATAAGACATTTCTTATTAATTTTAGTAAGGTCGAATAATTACGAAACGGAATTGATATAATGAAATTAGCATGTTATTATTGTACAATGTAGCTGTTGTATATATTCTTTCATATTATGCTTATTAGGAAAAATACAACAGATTAAAATTACAAATTGTAAAGTGAAATAACGAACTATTACACTAGTCGGCAAAGTTAAATTTTTTTAATAACATGAATGAAATAGGATGTCTCTAATTCGTGCGTAGTAAATATGAAAAAGACAGTAAAAAGTTCGTAACACGTAACACTTTTTTATATTATCGATATATAATTTATGTAATTTCGAAGATCGAGATTTTTTACGTATTGTATAAAGCATGTTAGTCCTATTATTACATTTTAATTTTCAGCTCTTGGATTAAAAAAAAGCAAACTCATGTACAAAAAATTACGCTACAAGCAAATAAATTTTATATATTTTATTTATTATAATAAACATGAATAAGTCCGTATACATTAATAACAATAAAGTATTGAACCACTTTGAAGTCAGCAACTCAAAGAAACACATTAAAGAAAAAAAACGAGTTTAATTATTAATTTTTTATTGTCATATTGTCATATAATTAGAATATTAAATGATTAATTAAAAAAAAATGTGTTTAGCCCAGTTAGAAAAACTTTGTTAATTAGTATAATTATTATGATTATGATATAAGGCAAATACTAGACAATTATTATTTTGACACTTTATTAAATACATGCTAATATGACATAATGCTGTAAACACAAAATTGCACAAATATTACAATTACAACATAGATATATCGTTCGTTTACAGTTTCCTGAAACAAGTAGAAAAAACTATGCGATATGTATGGTTAGTGGAAATAATGGGCTCTGCTATACTCTTATGCCTTTCGGGATACTACATTATTATGGTAAAAACGACGAACAATTTTCGCGCGGCCTTTATTCATGCACAATGGCTGCGGTTCACTTGACGCTACAAATTTTTTGGAGCGTCCTTCTTCTCCTTTTTTCTTCATTGAAAGAAAAGAGAAGAGGAATACTTCGAAGTATTTGTAGCGTCAAGTGGACCGCAGCCAATAATTTAATTTAAGTAGATTGAGTTCAATTAATTCTAGCATAGAAATTAAAACAGTGGATGGTATTTGTCGCAAATTATTTCGCAAGTATATTGCAATTGTTTTAACTTTATAGGAATGGGAGAATAGTAACTCGACAGCTATGTTAACTATGTCTGTGATGCTTACGTCATTCACTTTCTCCATTTTTACTAATTGCTACGTCGGTCAACGGTTGACAGATCAGGTAGCAAGTGACAAAATGCTTGCTGTGAAAATTAAACAGCAACGCGTTCATGACCATTGTCAATAAAATATACTTAATTAATTATGACAGAGCATCAAGTTTGGGTTAATGACGTCTACGACGAGTTGGCATCGTCTTAAGTACAAAAGAGCTCGTACTTTAATCCTGATAATGGCAATTTCCAACATTCCGGCGAAAATCTCAGCAGGCAGAATTGTAGAAATGTCTCTACCTACATTCAGTAACGTAAGTATAGAAGCTTGTCACATTTTCATTTACTAGTAGAAAATTATTTATCTATTTCATTATTTCATAGATCGTTAAAACATCAATGGCATACTTTAATCTGCTCCGAAAATTCACATAATTGTGATGAAATAATTTTATCATAATGATATAGTATCCGTTTATAAATCTGTAATTAATACTATCTGACTGAATATTATTGGACTAAATGAATAAGATAATCAATTCTTGTTATTTTAATTTTAATCTTTCCTTTTATCTTTCATGAATATAAAAATATTTCATAAAAAATCAGGAAAAGTTAAACAGCACCTTTTCAGTATATTTTACATTTACTTACAATTTTTAATTTTAAAATTAGTTATAGCAAAAGATTCTCAGTATGTTGAGTTAATTAACAATTCGCGAACTTCTGTTCAATATAACTCACGATCTACGATGACCTAACGCAAGGTAGACGTCCTTTCGGCTAAAGGCCGTCTCGTGTGAATCGATCCCATCCTATAATTATCTCGTACCGGCAAAAAATTGCGCGCACACAACAATTTGTACCAAACTTTTCACCGTGCTGCGACAGAGGCACCGCGGGGCAACGGAGACGATTCACGCAGACGCGAGAGCGTGCATAATGCAAACTGGCAGGTTTCGTCGTACTTTTATCTGTCAGTTGCAATCGTGCGATCGCCTCGCAAACAAGTGAGAGGGAGATTCGGGTTTTCCCCCGGCTCGCGTCCATATGCATGCCATGATCGAACGAACGGATTTACGGAATTCCAACTATGAGTTGGACATTAGATACACCGTGCAGGTGCACAGATTGATTCTGGGACTGATTGGCATATGGCCGAACCTGGAGAAACCACCGAAACTGACGAGATTTTTCAGAGGACTCGTTAGGACCGCGTGCTGCTTCCTGCTATCCTTCAATCTGATACCGTGGACGCTGTACATGTTTCTAATCGTGGATACGTTCAAGAGCCGACTCAGAATGACGGGCGCGCTCTGCTTCTACAGCATGGTACCTGCCATGTACTGCACGCTGATGTTACGAGAAGATCGTATTAAGGAATGCATGAGACATATGCAAGAAGACTGGCGAAACGTACAGGACACAAACGATCGCAGAATCATGTTGGACAAAGCCAAGGCCGGGCGATTCATTCTCATTTGCACCACGCTGTTCCTCTTCATCAGCGGCTTCACTTACCGTCTGATTCAGCCCATAGCCCGCGGCAAGATCGTGATCGGGAATGTAACGATCAGACCGCTGGTGCAGGGTAACTACTTTATCTTCTTCGATCCGCAGCTAAGTCCCGCTTACGAGATCGTGTTTTCGATGCATTTGGTGACCGGCATCGTCATATACGTTGTGAAAACCAGCGTCTGCGGGATCACCGCGTTGTTCACCATGCACGCTTGCGGACAGCTCAAGATGTTGGCCGTTTGGTTGGAGAATTTGGCGAACGAGGATCAATGGTCGAAAGATCGCGTCGTTGCGCTGAGATTGGCGGCGATTGTCGTGCATCACGTGAGGATACGTAAGTAAGTAGCTGAAGTTGTTACGTATTTCCCGTTTTTTTCAAATTTCTTTCTAGGTTTGTAATTTAACTCTGATATATGAAAATTTTACATTAAAATATTAACAATTTTGTGTGATGCTTCTTAGGATCGATTAAGTTTCTATTTATTGAATATTAAATTCAGAAAGGCTGTATGCAAATTTACTCCTTGAATTAGCTTATACAATAAGCTTTATATAATGCTCTTATACAAATAAGCCTTACACGATTAAAGATTTTATTAATAAAAATATTAATTTGAAAAAAGTTTTTAACATACAATACTGGAAATTATAATAACATAATTTCGAATTTTAGATTTTTACATCAGATACAAAACGTTGTAGGAGAAATGTGTTTTATCGAAATTATTGGTA